TATCCATTTGCAGCCGTATAGTTACACAGAAATTCAATAGTGCGTGGATCCCAAGCTTAAACTGCCGGGGAGACCAGCATGAATTCAACATGTGCATCCCGTGACCGAAATATGCCCTTAGCGCGAAAAAGCCTGGTCTTGACATCAGGTTTGGACTTGCGAAAAAATAGCCTTTATCAGCTTTAGAACTTACGGTACACAAAGTGACTATATTGAATCAGCAAATGGATAAAATTTACAAAAATGGCTTCTAATCGTAGTGATGATGGTGGCTCCCCATTCGAGACGGCCGAACATTTTGAGAGAAATTCAAATTATGACGATAATCTGAGATCGAACATAGAGCCCACAGCCAGGTTAAGGTATATGAAATAATTCTAAAACTATTCGTAGCCCTTATTCAGGCTTGAGAAAAAAAATTCTCCAAATCCACGCAAGGACTGATCTTACATCTAAGGATAAGGATCAGCAGGTCCAGCTTTTAATGAGATCCCCTATCTTGAAGTACGAAACTCTCCAGAAAAATACCAAAGTTGAGGGGTCCACCGGCTTTTGCGCCCATTATCAGCGAAATTGCTTGCTTTATTGTGATTTGTGCGACAAATTCTATGCTTGCCACATATGTCACGATGAAGCGGAAGAAGGCCACATATTCAATAGATTCAACTATGCCTTAGCAATACTGAAATGCACCGTTTGTGATACGATCCAGTCTGTTCATCAAAACTGCTCTTCTTGTGGCACCTCCTTCGGACACTACTTTTGCCGCAAGTGTTTATTGATGGAAAATGATATCACAAAAAGAATATTCCATTGTGACGATTGTGGGATATGTAGAATTGGTGAAAAATCGCTCTTCTTCCACTGCCAAACTTGCAAATGTTGTCTTAATATTGCTTTAAAAACTGGTGATACCGATTCAGATTCTGCGTCCTCTTCCAAGGGACACAAGTGCATAGAGAGGTCTTTGGAATCAAATTGCCCAATCTGCGGTGAATATCTTTTTACTTCACGTACGGGAGTCATTTTCATGGTATGTCCTTCAAATGAGTAACTCTAGGCCTGCGGTCACGCAATTCATTATCTATGCCATGAGGAACATATCAAGCGGTCATACCAGTGTCCGGTATGTCTCAAGTCGCTTGCAGACATGCGGAGCTTTTTTTCTCAATTGGATGAGCTAGTTGATAGCCAACCGATGCCCATGGAGCTATCTGACCGTCAATCCAGCATCACATGCAATGATTGCATGCGAAAAAGTCTTGTGGACTATCATCTTTCCCAATACCACAAGTGTCTTCACTGCCATTCATACAATACTAGCATTCTCGAAATTATCAAAAAGTCCCCATAATCTTTCACTTTAGATGGTTTTAAACCAAAGCTTTTAATAAATAAAACCACAAACCTTTGCAGCGACATGATCAGAGGTTTAAGTAGTCCTTTAATCAGATCCAGTATATATTCCTTTTAGCCTTTAATTGCAGAAATAAGAAAACGATACTTGGTGTTAAAATTGTCTAAAATCTACTATCATCACTGTACTCCTTTAATTGAGGCACATAGGTGAATGAATCGATGACATTCGTGGACCAATGCCAATAAAATCATGGGTCATTTAATTACGATACCAAAGGTTAAAAATTTTTAATGCTCGATTTGGTTGTAATATGCAGCTTGCATAAAGCACCAATAGTATTCATTTTAATGGCTCTTGATTAAAGCGGAGTTTTGGACAACTAGGCTAGGCCGCAAATATTCTTACCTGCATGAACACGATGAAAATACTGATAACACTTGAATTCATATTAATTCATCATACTTTTCCAAGTCAAACATTTGAAATTGATGATCTTTGCCAGTTCATAGCAGACGACTTTACTCCGGAAGTATTTGAAGGAAAAAATCCAAAAGTTGCAAACAAGGCCATTAAAACCATATTTTTGCTTTCTAAGAAAAAGCTACTCAATGGGGCATACGCTATTAGCTCTGGGGTCTACGATAAGATTATGGACACAATCAGACAGAGCTCCAACTTTAATTCAGCTGCTGTTTATAAGAGGGTACAGGATCTGAAAATCTTGCCATATGATACTGACCTAAGAGCCTTTGGAGATGAAACAAACTCTGTTGTTTTTTATTGTGGATTTACACGGCATGCAATGTTGTGTGAAATTTTCAAGGTCACTTCTCCTAATCCCAAACATAAATATTTATGGAAGGTCCTTATTTATAACAGTGGCGATGGGTTAGAATATCACCCAGGGTACCGTGTTGGCCCAAGGATAAAATGTTCACCAGTTGTCATATACGAGGGTCCTCCGTTTCTTATCAATGAAGCCTGGGTTGAGGCTGCAATGGACTTTGGCTCGTATGAAAAAGTGGTTACCAATTTCTATCCCAGACTTTTGGGCGTTTTTCATAGATCCAATCAAACCTATGCCATTTTTACTGATCCCCAAAGAACAGGAACGTGTGCCTTTTCATCTTACCATGCATATTTTAAATTTAAGCTCGGTGAGATTGAGTATAAAAAGATCTTTACAGTTGCATCCTTAAGCGCTCTGCAGCATTTTGTAAATGAAGAATCTTCCGATTTTGTTTCAAAATCATATGTCTCACAGTATTCTCTTTATTTTTCCTTGTTGAAGCTAGGGCAGTCAAGCGAGAGCCGCAAAAGAACCGAAAACTTGAGTCATAAAGCATTATCATCTGCGGCTAATGTCTTGAACAAGATAGGAAAGTTTCACTTTTTAAGATGGAATGTTGATCTTGTTGATACGATGTTCAGATATTTGGTTGAAATTGGAAATGGCGCATTTGGAACGAAAGAGCATGCCTTTTTTGACGATCTAAAGGTAGCCTATGATCAATTCCAAATTGTCAAAAAGAAAAATCTTTTTACCGCCGTTCCTGCAAACATAGCTGATAATAGACGCATAAAAGCCTCATTTTCTAAAAGCTATTGGGATGATTTCAAGCTCGGGTCTTATAAAAAACTATCCACTGAGGACAGATTTTACTGTGAGCTTCCCCATTTCGAATATCAAAATGTTGTGTATGATCCTGCAAAGTTCACTGAATTTTCAACCTCAATTTTGTGTTTTTTATCCAAAGAAATCGCCTATCAGCCATGCTTTTTGGGCGAAGAGACATCCCTAATTTCATATCTGGATTCACTGACATTTCGGGTCATGCCAATGGTAGACAAATTTCATTCATCTAATCTCGAAAAAATGGACTTTCTTTACAACTTGTTCACCAAAACACTGCTTTTATTGGACTATGAAAATGATCTGTTTATATATCAAAAGGCTCTCATTTTAGTTGAGATTTTCAGCTCCTACAAAGAAATATACGCTCGTCATTTAAAGGTCTCTCTGAATAATGATGAAAATAAGTTTAAGGCTATCAATGATCAGATTATTGAAAAGATATCACCCTCTTTTTTATATTCCAATGAAATCGATCTTCTGGGAAGAAAATTACCAGACTGTATGAAAAATATTTACTTTCATCCTGAGGATATAGAAATTACCTCTGAATTGGTCTCCATATTGTTTAAAGACGACAGCTACCCTCCGAGTTCAGATGAGATGGAAAAGTTTTTCAATGTAGAT